TCGGATTTGCTGTGAAATTAAAAAGCCTAGAAGAAAGGAAGCCAGCCTGCCATAGAAAGGCTTAATCACACCACATGCTCTGATCAGCCTCGTGTCCAGACCTTCTGGAGAAGTTGTCTGACCGCGCTCATTACTATTGTCCTGAAAGCTTAAACTTTCTCACCGTTGTTACCAAAGCCAAAGAACTGGCATTACTACTGGAGCCCCTCCTCACACTAGGGTTAGGCAACATTAAATACTATGCAACCACATACACAGCCACATGTATAGGTTGTTCTGTACCACCTTTGCCTTCATCCCAAACTGTAGCAAGTCAGAGGTGGGATGAAATCTACTATGAGTTATAGTGTCTACAGAGGACTGCAAGAGCCTAACTAGAGCAGATTGGAACTTCTCTTCAAAGAAAAATCTTCACCAAAAAGAAAACCAATACCAACCAAAAAAACCTAGGTCAGATGACTTTTTTTTTGAAATTTCACTGGCAGAAATATTGTGCTTTGAGGAAATGTGGAAATAAGAAGCTTTTTCCCAACTTTCCTTCTCCATGGTTACCTAACAGCAGATAAAGCTCAGTCACACATCCATACCGATAACTCTTAGAGCCAAATTTAAGAGATTGGAAGAACCATAAGCTGTTAAGACAGCTTTGAAGACAGAATATCATCTCATGTAAAGTTATTTTTCATGCTTATGTGAAACTGTTTGGGCCTGTTCCTCTTCCACTATGGAAGGCTGTCAGTGACTTTAGTGGTGCAACAGTGGATCATTTTTTCTACTGTGATATGTGAGTTTCTCATTATTCCAGGTTTTTATCACTTTGATTACTGGTAAGAACTGCAAGAAGTGCATGGACAGAATCTATTTATTAGCTTGAGAAAACAACTACAATCTTACCTTTGGATCATTTTCAAGCAAGCGCAGTAATCTTTTTAAGTTTAGTTGATCATAGTTCACTCTGTAGTATCCACTTAAATTTACATTTAGCAGGACCCAGTCATATTCTGACTCTGGTACTTGCATTTCAGGAAACACTTCTGTAAAGTGACATTGAAATGTATCATTTTATTTTCTGTGCACTGCTAGATTTTCTTGCATATATAAATACTGGACTTGGTGCTCCTCTGAGATCTGAGACACAAGTTTGAGGTTGGACTCAAAGAGAATCCCCCAAAAGCTCGGTGTCTTTGTCATCTCTGCTCTGCGCAGTGGAAGAACTTCAACAAGCAACTGACCCCTCAGGCACTGAGCACCTTGAGATGGCAAAGGGGAGGCTGAAGACCCACTTTGCTTCTACCCTTCAGCTCATAGGCAACTGGGAGAGTTCAGAAAGGTTACCCAAGAATAAACAGTCTGGATGAGGATCAATAACCTCACATGCCTGCTGCAGGGCATGAGGCCCCAGCATGCCCGCTGCTCCCAGTGCTGCTCCAAAACACAATTCTCCGCACCATAGGGAAGAAGTGACAGCCTAGCAGTATTCACATAAATACAGATCACAGAAAGCAAAACAACTTTATGCAAGAAACGTGTAATCAAAAACTTTGTTTTAAATAAACGTCCTGTAGTCCCTTTGAGTTACATCACTCACTAATGGCCTCCTTCTGCAGTCCCATTTCATCTCAGCTACTACCTACTTCATGTGTGCTTGTCTGATACTTGCTCCTGATAGCCTACAGAATATCTGAAGGAGCCAGCGCCGCCTTGAAGGCTCTACGCAGCCTCATCAGAAGAGGATTCAAATACTGCTTTAACTGGCTATGACCATCCTGATTTAAGGCAGTGGTAAGCTCTCTTGAGCCAGTAAGTCCATATTGGTGAGTAGCCTAGACCCAGCACTGCTCCACTCTGAATGAGTGTTTTGACAGAGCAAGTACTGCAGGGTTCATCCTCAGTCATCTTCACAACGGAAAATTGGCGTGTGAGAGATACTGGCTTAAGCATTTAAAAACAGCATGGGTGGCTAGAATATGGCAATAGCAGCACTTTGCCTAGAATGGCATATTGGGTCAATGCTCTGCTCATCATCAAGAGCACTTTTAGATTCAGCTAAGATCACAAAACTGTGCTCCTCCACACCCCAGGCTCAGTGAAACGTGTTCTACCATACCAGCACCCTTTTCCTAGTGTGTCTTTTTGTGCTGCACAGACACATACTGCCCAGGGACAGCAACTAACACAATTCTATGGGCAGAGGCCAAGTATGTAGACGTTGCCTGAGGAGCCCTAAACCAACAGGACAGGCTTTTAACACTGTACAGTGCAGTGCTGAATGAAGATGCTTGGCTACTGGCAGCAGGCCAGCTTGTACCTTGGGAGTTTAATTTAACCTGTTCAGAAGTAAGACAAATTAGCTCCTGCAGAGCTATTTCCAGAGAAAACACACATACACAAAAATGCTTTTGAGATGTTTCCTCCTAATGTGTTGTTATGCCACTGCATCTGCTATTGCAAAATTCCAGTTCAAACTGTGCTTTGAACCAAATCCCTCAGTTTCGTTTACCAAAACCATCCTCACGAATCCCTCTGAATGACTACACTAACAATTCTCCACCAGAAGCCATTTCAATCTTACAGGAACAAAATGGCAACTGAACTTAAAATTACCCTTAGCATTTCTGCCTTTGTAAGACACCATTTGGTTTATTTCTGCATCAAAAAATCAAAAAGGAATTATTTCTTTTAAAATCTTAAAACATGAATGTAGGTCCCTTGTCTGAGTAAGCCTGGTAAATTTGATATATGGCTTTCAAATACAAGTGGAATGTGTTTTAATCCTAAATTACTTTATTGTAGTCTCTTCAGGTAGATGAAACCTGATGGGTTTTTTTCATAACTTCTGTAGCTCCTAAGTCACATGATGGGTGAGGAAATGGAACTGTTATTACTTCAGTAACAAAAAACTAGCACATGACACTAGTCCTTCCAAGCAAATGCTCCCTAAGAATTCTTTTCTGCAAATTTTCTAATTTTTCACCTTAGCAATCACTTGTTTCTTTAACTTTCATGCATTCAGAGGAATAAACATCCCATTTGCTTGTTTACTTGTCCATATACCGTGGAATGATCACTCAAGCTATCTTACTGCCTCAAAAAGAGAGAAAGTAGCTTTTAACCACTGCAAGCAGAGGGTGGAGAGCTGGGATACGCAAACAACATATTGTCATTTTGCTCTTAAGCATTCCATGCACACATCGGTCTCTGCATCTCCTTGTAACTGATTCAAAACTTCACGGAGTTCAGGGCTGACTTGCCAAAGAAAAATAATTACTTGTACATCCTAATGATCACATTTCTTCTTTCTCAAAAAACATAGCTGTTTATTGGAAAGCACTGAGATGAGAAAGAACTGAAATTTTATTTGCTTGGAGATGCCCATAAACTCGTCTTTCTATTACAAGCCTTTAAAACTTTTAAAAAATTCTACTCTTTTGATAAGAGTATTTTTCTATTTAATTTACGTAAACAAATTAAATCGCATGGTGTTGAAAACATTAATTTTCTGTTTTTACTGGTATCCATGTGTGACAATGTTGGGTCACTTCATTTTCTGATACATCACATCTGAGATCCTACCTATACTCAAAAGCTGTCATTAACACCAGTGGCATCTGCAGGGGTAAGAATAGTACAGAAGCATGAAGAGATAGGAGTCTGGATTGGTGTACAAAGTGACAAAGTCAAAATTATTGTGGAAAACTCTACTCATAATATGCATTCTACCATATTATTAAAAACATATGCTGAAGCTTGATGCAACACAGAAAAAAATCAATATATTAACCTATTTGAAAATCTGTTGCTATTGTAACATAAAATTAGCACAATAGATAAACATAGACGTTTCTGTAATAAATTTTTATCTTCAAATACTGTTTATAGGAGTATTAGGTGTGGTTTTATCAGCTGGTTTTAGCATGTATGAACAAATACATTACTTACTGCTGCTTTTGTCTAGCCACACTAAGGGTTGTGATGATCCATTTCGCATCCAAGAAATAGGAATAATCCATGTGTTACTTAATAGAAAAGAGATAATATGATTACTTCTTATGCTTAAAAAAAAAACCCTCTCAGCTGATGCTAAACTAGATTGCAGATGAGTTCCTTGTTGACTCCTCTCCAACACACAAAACTTCATCAGATGGTGGTACTTTTGCTGGATCGGCACTTAGGTTCAGCAAAGAGAAGGGATTTTAGCATGGAATTAAATAGGCACTCATATCTAGACTACTGCTCGATGCTAGGTATTTGAATACCACCGTAACTCTGTACTCTGGCTTTCCTTCTTCGGGCAATAATTTTGTTCTCCACACTTACTACACTTCACCCTATTTCTGGAGAATGTAAAGCTCCTTTTCAGAAGGGTATCTCAAAAAGGCTCCAGACAAGCAATACGACTGTAATTCTGACAGCAGTAATTTCCTTTCTAAGGGAATGTAAACCTCGCAGTGAGAACAGATGAAAGCTACAAAACCCTAAAGTTGCTCGCGAAAATGAAAAATTCTGTACTATTTGTCCTGGATTCGCTTAAATTCATGTGCTATTGCCTCTTGCTGAAACTACAGTAAAGGACTTAACATTTATAACTTGGAACTCCTATCTGAGCTAACCAAAGATGCTGAAGGGACTAATCCTCTGTGCTTCCTGGAGCTTGGAAGCAAAGAAAACTCTGTGGTTCTCATCAAAATTTCTCTTTTGGCTGTTCATATGACCAGCAATAGCAGCCAGGGAAAAACTGCTTTGGGCTTTGCCTTCCTTTATACTTTTTCCCTGGGTTAAGAACTCATCCCATGGGCCCTGTCCACACATCCCAACACTCATGACACCTGCTGAATTCCATGAAACTTCAAACTCTAGCAATGAGTTTGCAAAGTTCGTGACCAAAGGCAGCTCCTTATATCATTGTTTTTAGGCATCTAAGTAAGTAGCACAGCTTGTAAAAGCACCGGGAACTTGGCAGTGCTCACTGAGAGGAACTTTAGAGCATTTTCTGAGGAAGGGGTCATTTATCTAAGTACTTAAATGCAACCCATTTGCCCTTGACAAGCAGAAGAGACTGGGCATATGTGCACTGGAAAGAAACTACAGCGTGGTTCATCCAGGTCCCCAGTCCATACAACTGAGGGATGAGGAAAGAAGAGATTTCCAGGCAAAACTCCTGCCCTGCAACCTATTCATGGCCTGTGTCTGTCCTTACAAAGCTATTACGTGGCTGGAAAAGTCACTACTCTGGAGGAAAGCAACCTTCTGGCAAAACAGGTGGCTTGCAGAACTATTGCAAACTCCAGACTCAAACATATTTTGAGACTTGACAGCTCGTGACATGAAAAAACACAAACTTAAAAGATCAGATGGTCAAAACATAACGTCCTAACTGAAGAGTCCCCTGCAAAAAATAGGGTATAAACACGTAATAAAAACACAAGCTAAACATACTTGTAAGAATTAGTACTGTTTCCATTCTTTTTATTAAGAAATTGTTCCTGACTGATTGTGCCAGTGGTGAGATTTAAAGTTAAAACTGGAAACCCATTTTGGCATGTCCAGGAATCCATTATTTGTTTTACAGATGCCGGCAACTGAACTTCATCCTGTGCATCTACAACCTGCAAGAGAAGCAGGAATTATAATTATTTATGATAAATGGGTACTTACTAATATTGCTTCAGCAACACTCCAGGGGTTGTTCTAACATGTTACAGAAAATGTACAGAACTACTTAGAAGCAGTTTACTGGTCTTTGATTCATGCAAAAAAATCTATGTAATGAAGTGAAAAGGACATTATTGACATCACTACAAAGACAGCATAAGACTTTTTAGGAATTACGAAATACTGAGATTACATTTCTGATTCTCATAACCTGACTGCTAACCTTTCTCTTTTTAGTGTTAATATACTTACACCCCTATATGGCCACGACAGACTTAATTTGTTAATTTCACTCAAATAAAGCTGCCATAATGCACAGGTTTTTAAGTGACTACCTAATGACAAACCAAATAGTAAAGACAAATTGAAAAAGTTACTAAGGTGGGGTCCCAACTAGTGTGAACTGGTAAAGTCTCTGTTGGCTTAAAAGATGTGACAGCCTTGCATATCTGAAATTGTGGCACCCTTGTTCTTAACCTAGACTGAGTCTGCAACACAATGGAAGCCTTCTTTACAGGAACAGGGAAGTGGAATTTTTAAAAATAAACCTATTATTAGCACCTGTTTCTTATTCAGATTTCTGCCAAAACCAGCGATGGGTGAAATGCTGAGCTACTGCCCTGGACATAGGCTTTTGCTGGATCAGTGACATAGCAACATCTTGGATCGTCAAGCCCAGAGCATCATACACTCTGATCTGGCAAAACTTAAACTCCACAAGAATAGGCTATGCAATTTCAGGTAGGCTTAAGTGACCTCCATGAAACCCAAACCACCATGGCCCTGATTTGCCATCTCATCTCTCTTCTCCTTGTACTTAGCTCCACCGATCTCAAGTACAGTAAAGCAGCCAAATAAACACCTGTGAAGACATTAGCCAAAAGAGACAGCAAAGCAAATTTTATGCACTAGGGACAGCCAAATTCCAGTGCAGTCTTTTACAAACACTATATACCCTGAATTTGGACTGGGCCAAAGACCAGAGCAAGAATATTAGAGGTAGAAAGAGTACCATCTGTATGTGGGTCCAGAGATCATCCTGGTCAGCATTTAAGAAGGAAAATTCTTTCAGATACAGCTGTACAGAAACAGATAGAAGCATCAGAATTCATGAGGCTTCAATGAAAAACATCAGTAAGACAAACAGTAATTTGTGCAATTGTAATTTTCAAGCTTACAGATCAAGATGAATATGTTAGTTTTTCAAACTTACAGTGAGTGCCCTGATAAACAACTTCTCAGTCAAGAAACCTGAAAGCATCCAGGTAACAGAAGCTCCCTGGAATAGAAAAAAAAGCTATGAGAAAACATGAAAAATTATTGCAACTATTATTGCAATATTTTTACAGACTATATTCCAGAGAAGTTAGTCAGGCTATGCTTCATATTTCATGGAGGTTAAAAATGTTTTCACTGTTTCTTTCATAGCCAAATATATTTGCAACATCCAATATATTTGTGCGTGCAGCGGAAACAAATACTGAGTGACAAAACTACCTACAAAAAGCATTGCAATTTAACAGGGTATTCCACTCTTCCTCTCAAACCTGCTTAGTTTAACGTGCCATTGGTTTAGAATATACAAGAAACAGGAGGAATTTTATATTTTTTAACCTTGTTGTACGTGATGCTGTCAAACAGAGACATTAATGATCCTTTGATCTTGTCTTCACTCTCTGACAGTGATCGTACTCCTATTTCATTGTCTTCCCTTAAGACAGGTTGTACAACATGATCAGAAAAGATTTTATCCTGCAAGAAAAAGACAAATCTAAGTGAGCTGAAGAGAAAATACTTATTCTCAGGAGACATGTAATTATGGGATTAGCACTAATGGAAGCAGTGTGCAATAAACAAGGAATGATCCTTTTTCCCCCTCCCTCACCTTCCCATGAAGTAAAAGGGACCTTACACCTGAGCCTAACATTTTCCACGTGCAACAGCACTAATCAGGGCAGAGAAAATTACATCAGAGAAGACTGTGGGCTTGGGCCTGACAGCACAATCCTCAGGGAGGAAAAAGTCAACTATATAGAACAGCAAATGAACAAATACTGAAAACTGAAAACTTGTATCTGATTTACGTCTGTATGTCACTAATAAGGCAGCATTTTCCTCCTAAATTCTCTGTTTCTCCTGCTGTAACCCTGAGTAATAACTCAAAAACTAAGCTACTAAGCATAGCGAGGCTTAACTATGCGGCATTTCTGCGGTCACCCAGGGAGAAATACAGGGGGGGAAACGGTGAAGCAGTGGAAGTTATCTTTTAATCAAATGACGATTTATTCCCTGAGCTGAGTATCTCTCCTCAAACTGGATGGAAAATCACATCATTAGAAAGGTAAAAGAAAAAAAATGGTTTTTTGGAAACACTGCAGGCCACTTAGAACACTTCTGCTTCTCAAGGAGAAGAACACAGACTTCCAACTAACGGGATCAAATTTGTTGACCAATTTTTCTCTTTGTAAACAGCCAGGAAATGTAATTTTCAGGGTTCAATCTGTAATTGGGTGGCGATCAGAGGCACAAAGTCTAGTCAGAGGCCAGTAACTAGCAGTGTACCCCAGGGGCAAATACTGGGTCCAGTCCTGTTCAACATCTTCATTAATGATCTGGATGATGGGGCAGGGAGTACCTTCAGCAGGTTTGCACACAAAACTGGGAGGAGTGGCAGATACACCAGAGGGTCATGCTGCCAACCAGAGGGACCTGGACAGGCTGAAGAAGTGAACTGACAGGAACCTCATGAAGGGGGCACAAGTGGAAGTGCAGACTCCTGCACCTGGGGAGGAACAGCCCCAGGGACCAGTACATGCTGGGGGCCACCCAGACAGAAAGCAACTTTGCAAAAAAGGACCTGGGGACATGAAGGACACCAAGCTGAACATAAGCCAGCAATGTGACCTTGCAGCAAAGGCAGCTAGTGGTATCTAGGGCTGCATTAGGAGTATTGCCAGCAGGCTGAGGGAGGCAATTGTTCCCTTCTACTCAGCACTGGTGAGGCCACACCTGGAGTGTGGGGTCCAGTGCTGGACTCCCCAGTAAAGGAAAGACACGGAGATAGTCCAGTGAAGGGCCACGAAGATGACAAAGGCACTGGAGCATCTCACACATGAGGAAAGGCTGAGAGAGCTGGGGGTGGTCAGCCCAGTGAAGAGCAGGCTCAGGGGTGGGATCTCATCAAGGTACATAAATATCTGAAGGGAGGGTGCAAAGAGGACGGAGCCAGGCTCTTTTCAGCAGTGCCCAGGTCAGGAGGCAATGGGCACAGACTGAAACACAGGAGGCTCCCTCTGAACACCAGGAAACACTGTCACCATGAGGGTGACCGAGCACTGGCACAGGTTGCCCAGAGAGACTGTGGAGTCTCCATCCTTGGACATGTTCAAGAGCTGTCTGGACACGGCCCTGGGCAACCGGCTGTAGGTGTCCCTGCTTAAGCAGGGTGGTTGGCCCAGATGATCTTCCGTGGTTGCTTCCAACCTCAGGCAGTCTGCAGTACTGTGAATGTGCACGGCCCACAAAACTGCACTGTATTCTTGAACCTGTGTAATTTACTCTGGATTTCCAAGGCAAATCACGTAAGTAATTTCTCAAATGGTATTACTGCCTAGTATTAAAATTTACTTTAAGTAAGTAAAATGGCTATTGTTAATTTTTAGAAAGACAAGCTTCTAAATGAAAAGACTAAAATTTAAAAGGAGACAAAGACATTTTTCCAGTTTAAAATTTGGTGGCCTTTATACTTTTCAAAGATATTAAAACACTGCTTTACAGAGAATAAAGTGAGCTGTTGTTGAAGTTCAAAGCAGGGGGTTAGCATATCCCATGACCTAAAAATCCTTGTGACAGAATTTGTTTGACATGCCTTTATTATTTCCCAATTAAGCATGTAATTAAGTACTTTGGTGAATTAGAGAAGGAAAGTGACAAATGGTGTTTCATCTGAGCCAAAGAAAAAGCAGACTGGACTGACTGCAGTCTCAGGCCTGCCCAGACTAAAGGCTTCTGCTTTCTTCAGAGGCCAAGGGCACAGACATCATGATTGCACACGTGAGTGCATCTCACCTCATGGCTACAATTAGCAGCACCCATCCTCCTGTCTCAGAGTTTAGTGGTGGATGGAGTTTTCTAATACACCGTGGCATTTATGCTTTTACCCATTTGGACAGAATGGGAAGGAGTTTTACCTGGCCGTTGGATTAGCTGCGTGCATTATATTTGCCTTACTCGCAGCCAGACATCCATGGACCCAGTGGGGTAAACAGACTCAAAATGGCCTAACTTACTCACTGCTCAGTAAAAGTACCTGGCTATGGGGTGCTTGGAAAAGTTTGGACAGGCAGGAAGGCAAACCATCAGCTACAGAACCCAGGAGAGAAAGCTGGGTTTGTTAAATGGCACATCTAGGGCAGAACACCAACTCCTTGTCCCTGCAGAATCAGAGCTGTCTATCTGTCCTCTGTGCCACCTGTAACAGGGCTGGGTTTAACGACAGCCCCTAGCAGACGATAACCCTCCGGGGAAGAATCACGAACTACTGGTCTGTTCCCAGGGGAGTTAAGTTACTAAAGCCATGGCTTGATTAAATCCCATCTCCCACACCTTGCTTGTCTTCCTGAGTGCTGGAACTTTGCTGCTTTAGCTGACTGACTTCAGTAAGCATTAGTACCTACCAGTGAAAGCTTGGGCTCAACAAAGGTAGCTCCCAGGTACTCGAAGTAAGATGCCAGTCCCTCATTAAGCCACAGATCATTCCACCAGTTCATTGTAACCAGATTTCCAAACCACTTAAATAGAAAGAAAAAATGTCTCAGCATCTCTTTGGACTGCTCTTTCCATTTTTGCAAGTTCAACACACGTGCCTATGCTGAAGTGACTTTATTTAATGTGTACATGTCAACTGAATAAAATGCTGGATATTCCTTCAGATCGTAAAAATTCAGTAGAAAAAGATTCATCTTGGAAAAAGTCGGAGATTCAGGGCAGCTGTTTTTTCATTCTTTCACCTACAATTTCATACCAAGAGTATGGATGTCAGTGTTTTATGTCAGCCTTTCACTTTATTCAGTTTTAAACACTTCCCAATAAAATTTATAAAGATCTAAAGGATTAGGCTGTGATTAAAAGTAGGGCATTTATCAAACAATCACAAAAACATTTTTCCATGTTCTTAGCAAAAGCAAATTGCCAGGGGGATGATAAACAGAACCGGGGAAATAACCATCTCCAAAATCAGCAAATCCCCACCTTGGCAAGCAATAAAACTTCCACAACAGCTGCTATGTACTCATATTTGGCAGTTCACAGTTAACAAAAAACTGATCACTTGCAGATTTCTATTTTATTGTTAATTCTTAAAAAATTTGAATTACAACTTTGTTTTAAAATAAAGTTTAATAAAGTACTGACACTTGTTTTACTGGCCTACAATAAAACCACTCTGCTCATCTGAGGGTCTGAAAAGTTACAGACCTTGTCAGAAGGGCATAGAAGTGCACTAGCCAAGTTAAACTCTTTCACTAATTTTGTTGGCTAAGTGCAAACACTTGTTGCTCTGGCAAACAACAGTACATTAAACACCGTCAATAAAAGACTGAATCCAAACCAAATAAGAAAAATTTTTTAAATCTCTATGAAAACTGGACAAAAGTCCAGCTACAGTGTAAAAAGCGTTCATGTTAATTTTGTTCTATTGTACCATAGGCCGTTTCTTACATAAAAACAAATACCTTTTGCAATATGTACATGCACTCCCACTGCAAAATAATACCTATGAAGTCCATTAATTCTCCCACCAAAGTACTAAGTATACTGTATATAGACAGAACTGTGTCATCCCTACAGTATTTTCTAGTATGTCATTCAGGTACTGTGTAAGAAAAAAAATAAGTAACCCATTAACAGTTTTGCATCAATGAGTCCTGTGCAGTCAGTATGCAGTCTGTAATATAACAGAATCTGCTTTTAATATTGATTTATCAACTGAACATATGATCAAATAGTCTTTCCGTTCTCTAGTGCTCACACCACTTACTGTCAAGTCACTGTTCTTCTACTAATCAGTGACTGCATCATCAGCAACTGGAAGGGAACAGCCTCATAAACAAATAAGTGTACAGAATTTTTTACCACATGCCTGGTGTCCTATCTCATGGGACACAATTATGGCAATCATTGCCTTTCTGCTTGTGAATTTATCGCTTGGGAGGTACATCAATGATGATTCTTGGAAAGTCATTAGCCCCCAGTTTTCCATAGCACCTGCTCCAAAATCAGGCAGTGCGACCAAATCTAAATTGATCCAAAGAGAGAAAAAGAAAAAAAGGTATCTTTAAAATTTTCAGAAGTAAGATGGTCACATTATTTTAATGCTCACACTGGTTCAGTGTGCAATTACAGGATAGTACATTTTAGTGGTTCTTTGCTGTATTATAGCAACACTCTTGCAAATGGTCTGTGAAATTTCTTCTCATTATACTTTTCCTCTATGATCGCCACTCTTCCAGGGAGCCATAAATTCCCACGAAGCCCAGATCTGTACTGGATCTTGTACGTACAAATGTTTTAAACAAAAAAGGCGGCTGTGTTCTACCAATGCTAGGAGAGAATATATTAACTTCTGGCTCTCAGAAATCTCTCTGTACAAGTTTCTCATGTATTTGGGAAGGATCAAACTCACCTCTTTCTTCAGCCTAGCAATTGATTTAAAAAAAAAAAAAAACTTGCTCTTTCAGCTCTGTGAGCAGAGGGATCCTTTCCACTCTTATCTGAAAGGTGCTTTAGAAACATCTCTTTGTTTCCACAGCAGGGCTGTTACCTCTGCACTCCCCTCCTGCCTCAGGCACAGGGAGCAGCTTTCCAGTTCAAATGTGAGAGTTGGATGAAATAGAGATGGGCCTTGGATGAACGTCAAGAGTTTCAAAGCAAGATATACTGTTTAAACCCAGCAGCAAAGAGCAAAATTTGTGAAAGGCATAGAGAGCATTTTGGAAGCAGGCACAAACCAGCTGACCATGAGCCTCTCCAGCCCAAAAGCTACGCAGTTAACCTAAGCATGGCGCTGAATCCCAGCAAACCTAGACTGCCTCCCAGCAGGGCTTACCACCTCAGGCTTACAGCAAAGGTAAGCCTCTGGTGAGGCAGCCCTCGTATAGCCAGCCAAGGGCAAGAGAGCTCACTTGTAACTGCATTAAAATCAGGTGAAGACAAACCTTTAAATACCTCCAATTTTAAATGTGTTTATTCTTATTTTCATGTTTTGCGTTCACAACAGGAACCTCTAGCATTTACAAGGAGCTGTTCTTGGTTGATCTAATCCTATTGATTTTTAAGCAAAACATCAAAGAAAGTCAGTGGGAAATGCAGTTGTGTGACATTACAGTGGGGATTGGAATGGTATTACAGCATTCTGTGAAACTGAAATCTCACCTAACAGGAAGCCTTCAATACCGTTCTTCTACTTCAATTTTGTCATATTTTTACACGGGTGAATTTATGTACTGACATTGCTGCTGAGCAGAAGAATAAAAGCATGAGACAGAATTGTCTACAGCCCTTGAGTAGCTTGTATGATTACTAAGATAACAAAAATTTTAAAGTGACAATTGCATACATTACATTTTCCACAAGAAGTGTAGTGTTATTCCAAATACAGTGGGAGATAACACATTTACACAGATGAAAATGTATTTCTTTCAAGTGCCAAAACACAGATATGACAAATGAACAGATTTGTAGTCAAGAAAGGAGGAAAATTGTTTCTCCACAATCTTGCAATGTACTAAGATCACGGGCAGGTCAAAACTTGTTCTAAGTTAGAACTGCCTTCTGTGCTCTCGATATTCTACTGATTTGTATAAAAAAGCATGTTCCTCCATAACATTAATGCTGAAGCCCTTGGGAACCCAAGTACAAGCAGCAGAGAAACTGTACAGTGAACCAAATGATGGTACCCTTCTTTCTTGACTGAAGCTTAGCTAACTTACCTGATGTCCCTTTTAAGCAGAAGTGATGTTATCCTGCAGGAATCTTTTTCTGGGGAGGAATGTGCAGGAACATATAGCCAACTCACAGGTAAGAGAGGGACATATTGAAGAAAGCAAGGAATTCTCTGGGGAGACGTGGGTTGTAGCAAGCATGGATTTACTAGGAGGACATAAGAACTTGCCTATACCAGGTCTATGCATCACAGAAATAGCCACGCGACTGAACAACTCCTTTCTATTCACTTTGTACCCCATCTGCCCCTTCATTAGGAAATGATGTTGTAAGAGAGTGAGTGTGATGTGAAGGTAAGAGTGCTGAGTTACAGGTTAGCAAGAGCCATGATGCAGACAGGAGAATTCAGTCAGTTAAAGCTTAGGGGTTTTATTCCATGAATGTGGTTAGCTGTAAAAAGAGAATACTGCGAAAAAACCCATTGCTTCTGTGAATGTTACACCATCAGCAGCCATTTCTGGTCCACTTAAGAAAATAAGTAATCTCACCTGTCTTTGGTAGAGGGTAGCTGACATTAAGTAAGTCTTCCAGAAAGGAAAATATTTGGCCTGTGATATTTAAAGCATAGTCAACATACCCATTTTTAACTGCCTCTTTCCGAGCCCAAATACGTATCTGCAGTAGAACAAGGAAACGTTATTTTAGACAACCCTCATATTTTCATTTTCTTTGCTTCTCTTCTGTGAATCATTGTTTGAAAATGCTGTCTGTCCACACCAGATCATGCAACAAAGCTTTTAATGAAAAAAATCCCAACCCAAGTCTTCCTGGACCTAACAAAATGTGGCACGGCGCCTAATCCTGCTAAAACCTAGGAGAGTTCCAGCACTTCAAAAGGGCCAAGACTTGAGTCCAGCTATACATCGCTGGAACAAACGGACTCCTGATTTTTCTTTTATTAAATAGGAAATGACGCAAAACCATTTAGATCCACACAACTTAAGCCAATGTATTCCAGCCAGTCAGTCTGGGTGAGAAACAAATTGGATGTTCAGAGAGCGCTTGCTGTCCAAGCGTACGTATGTCTCCTCCTGAACCTTCTCACGGGCTGGAACAGACCACTGGCCTCCCACTGCTGCTCAAGAGTAACAGAGGCAGCAGCAGCAAGCAAAGCTTTCCCCCTCCCATGCCCATTTACTGAAGAGGGCAGCTGAGTTCCCAGGGTGATAGAGTAGACTGAGGAAAAGTTTATGTCTCCATCACATATCTCCAGCTGCGTGACCCCCCAGGCACCTAGCAGCTCAAAACCCCCCACCATTTCTTGCATCTCACAAGGAGCTATGCAGCCAAACCCTCATAGCACAGTTGGGGAAGCATCAGGATTTAATTTTAAAAGGAAAAAATAAAGCATATTCAGTCAACAGAGTATCGCCAGCCTCTGAGCCCCTCTTTTCAGCTGAGGCTTCAGAGGAGATTCAAAGATCAGATCACTTCATTTTGCAAAACCTACACATAATGGGCAGACTTAAAATCCTGATCCTAATACAAGCTTTGAGTTATAATACCAGTGTTTCTGGTTGTAAATTACTTACCAGAAATACCAAAAGAGACGTAATAAACATGCTCACACAAATACTGTGGAGGCATAAATTGAGCACCTCTGTCTGAAACCAAGGGGTAAAATACCTTTGTCCCTCTATCCCACAGAAGATGGGTGGTGGTGCTTCTTCCCTCTGAAAAAATGCTAGTTTGAATGCCTTGCTGCGCTGACTCCTGTCAGTACGCATCAGCCCAAGAAAAAGGCACCACAGTCAGAGCCGTAAGCATCCAACGTGTTTTATACAGGGTATACATGCAGGTATGACACACCAAGTCCAATCTTCACTTTAAAAAGGAGCTAATACTGTGCTTCCTAGGCCACCTCCGCACTGTCCTCTTACCTTATCCCACCTTTCCCCAGAAGCATGACAGCAAACCAACCATGAAGCTAACATGGTGCTCTCATTTATTAAGTGTAGCAAGTATAAGGCTTTATGCTTGAGGTTACTATTTATTTTGGAACAACTTGTTACATCTTTTCCCTACTGAATTTCAACAAAAGAAGGAAAGTGAAACCACTGGTGCCAACAGAGTGTATTTTTTTACAGCTTCCCTCAAGAAGCTTTGCCCATTGTAGTGTAAGAACAAAACTGAATACTCACTGAAGGAGAAGGTTCAAAAACAAAACAGTCACTTTTGGAAACTAAAAAATGTGTCCACTGCAGAATAAAAGGTCCAAATACTAGTATACAAAATGCTTGGAGCACAGTATTGCACCTACTGAAGTCATGACGCTGCTCCTCAAAGGGCCTTGAAGAAAAAAGCACTGAACTTCAGTGGTTTGTCACAGCAGTGGAAATGGGTATTTTTTCCAACTAAGAAAGCTTGGAAGATAAGAATACCCTGAATTATGACCAGTACTTTCTGCAGAGTAGCTGCCTCTAAAGTTTTAATGTACAGAGCCTATACCTACTCGTGGAATTGTATGAAATGATCAGGACAGGACAATAAACTAATTGTCCTAAAGGAAAGTTTTCTGCAGAAATATCTGCAGGATAAATGTTAGCAGTTTTGCCACATAAGCAAATAATTTTGGAATGGAAAGCACAGTTAATGTCTGTGATATCTTCTAAAGCACATGATGCGCCACAGAGCCAAATGCTGTGGTAAACTGCTAGAATGTGTTATGCAGCCTCATATTTACCTCATTTCCCCGCTCGGTTCTGGTGACATAATCAAAATCGCAAATCACAAAAGCAGTCAAGTAAGTTGACATTTTCAGTGTAGTGTTAAATGTGGTAACTCTCCACAAGCTTCCATTTTCATCCTTCATTTCAGATACATCTAGGAAAAATATCAAAGAAATACTCAAACCATTGCTCTTCCATAACAAACAAGGAATCTTGTGTTTTCTGAGTGGTTTTTTTATACCTCTCCTCGATCTGCTGTATTTCTGCACTAACTTCATGTGTTTCTGATAGAAGGCAAGCAGCCAGGCTCCTTGCTACTGCCACGTATCTGTCATGACCTTCCATGCAAACACCAAAAATCCACTCTTGAGCTTCTTAACTGAAGTCTTGGAAGGATATCAAACTGCGTCAGATTTAGGATGTGGGCAAACTGTCGACAATTTATCCCACGCTGAATCTCTCTAAAATGTACTATCTATGAAGATTCAAATATAGGTCATGTGTGCCCAAGAATTATAAAATATTTAATCAGATACCTTCCTTCTAAATACGGGAGACATAGACAAGATTCTCAAGGGAAAAAAAATGCCTTAAACAACCCTACAGAGATCCCACCTACTATGATTCCTAAATTATTTAGCTTCCATTCAAATCTCATAGACCTTCCTTTTTATGGCTGAAAATTATTTAGGTGAAAAATAAAGATTCGTGGCACTGAACTGCAGAAAAAAAGACATTAAGAAGCGGGCAAGAGATCCAACAAATTCCTGTAGGAACACTAGTTTACAGGATTTGTTTGGAATCTTATATCCCACGTGAGATCCCAGCAAGGGACAGGAGGAGCATCTCCAGAGCAGTATAGTCCTCTCGTTCTTATTCTGCACATACACAGGAGGCTACAGTGTCTCTGCCTGGTTAAACAGTTTTTTCTATGCTGTAAATACATCTTAAAATTTGCTTACAATGAAAGGAATCTCTTAATAACACAGTTACAGGCTCTGCATACTGTCATGGCCGTACAACACAACAGGAACGCTTGACTAAGCAGTAAATGCCAAGAATCAAACCTATGCAGCCCCCAGCAACCAGAGGAGAGACATCACAGCTGGAAAAACTATGGAAGTATTGCCATCAATGGCATTAATTATGAATAACTGTCTCCAAATGTTTAAGTTCATAGGCACAGATTTTCTGTGTATTTTCAAGGTGTTGGTGTACAGACAACACAGCGCTGTTTTGATAGACTCTGTTCAGATAAATTACACCCTTTTTAAAAGTAATTTAGGGAAAAGAAAAGAAACCAACATATGTCTACTTGTTTACCTACCAATAGCAGGCATGTTGGAAAGAGCCACATAGCTTGGGTCATGGACAATTCTGATGTTAAATGTGGCTTTCATAGCAGGTTCATCAAAACACGGATAAACTGTCCTGGCATATGTTGGTTCCAGCTGGGAGGCAATCAGCATACTGTATTAAAAACAGAAGTTCACATCAATCCAACATGCTACAGCTGATCAAAATTAATGCATAGTGCATAAAAACATCAAATCAGGAAAACCAAGAAATTAATCACATAGATACTCAGATTTGGAAAAGGTTTGGTTATTATTAAAAACATTATTAAATCCCCCCACCTAACTGACTGTTCAGTTTGGATGCTTCTAGAGAAAAGCAGTCTTTCTTAATTAGGTCTTTTTTTTTCCCCCCCTCACAGGCTGTTTCCAGATATCGTATTTTAAATATTTGAGCTTTTCTAGTTTGTTTATTAAGACAAGTTGATTAGAGTTTTGCACACAGCAGGCCAGTGCTCAAAAGTGACACAATGCCCAACTTTAATTTTTTTATTAGAATCTGCCTGCACACCTGCTACCTCTCTCTAATGCATGCGCTCTTACTTTAATGGTACATTTTAACAAAAAATTGTAATGACCGTTGGGTGACCACACACACATGCGCTTGCACGCTTCTGTCAAACCACACCAGAGCAGAACACCAGTGAAAGCAGCACTGGCACGGCCCCAGTACATTGGCAAGCCCTTCAGGAGGATCCTTTTCTACCATATGCCATGGAGCCTTGCCTCGCTAGAGGCAGACCTCTGCGGCACGCTGGCTGGAATCAAAAGATAAATTGTGTCCCGTGGCCAAAGTTTCAAGAAAGAGCTGTACAATGGGGCTGTTCACGCTAGGGCATCTGTACAGGGAATGAGAAAAAAATACACATGCAATGGTTCTCAGAGTTCCATACCTGCCAGCCAGGTAGCTGCCAGCGACTGGGCGTACAGGAATGGCATGATCCCTTGTGCCAGTGGCCTCAGCCCTATCGCTGGGCTAGTATTTTTCAGCTGTAGTTGGGGTGTTCCCTAATGGTGTGTTCAGACCAGGTTCACAAAGGCTTACGATTAGCACAGAGACATCCCAAACGAGCCAGGGGCCATCGGGACAGCATCCATACGTTAAGTAACACTATGTAACGAGTCAGATCTACCGTATGAGCGCAGCATGACGGTGCCTGGTCGTGATCTATAGCACTGAACCATGTCTGAAACTTAAGGTTGCATATTTTAAGATTCCCTTTTCCTGGCAGATGAAATGCATGGTTTAGCATACCAATGTATTTACATCACTTTGCAGAAGACGTACTGCATTTGTGTGCATTTTGACCCAAGCAACAGAGTCACTGGCTTCCTGCTTCCATTAACAAATCTCAGCAATGCTTTCCACCCAGCTCCCAAGGCCAGCCTTCCAGGAGTCCTTGTCTTTTGAAAGGTGTTTGGCTGTTGCCATTTTAACAGCTCCGCTGGATGACCCTGCTCAAAGCCCATCTAATCAACCCAGCCCTGGAAGGACCAGCAGCTCATCTACACTGTGTCGTCCTCATTGCTGGTGCTGGGGTACTGAGTTAATACCAACAGGACAACTGTGTAAAAGCACTGCACTCTCAAAACGTGGTACATTTTGCATTTAGCAGACATATCTGATGCTGTACCATAACACAGCTCAGGAGCTTTAAAACAACCCATGCTGAACACACGCTGATGCACAGTGACTCTTGGGACCACGACATCTATTTTGAAGTGAGGATTGGCTCAAGAGAGAGCCAGCACGACGTATTTGACTTCTTGCCTGTCAGCGCAGGAAGATTTTCTTTATGGACCTGATTCACTGCAGAGTCAAGCATGTGCCCTGCCAGCCACTGGCTGCCTTGCTGAACGCAGCCAAAGCTCCACCCGAGACAGAAGTATCACCTCCTCCCCTTCTTTATCCCGTCCTGTGACAGAAAGAGACTTAACCCTCTGCCAGGGTTCCACAGGAGCAGCAGAAGTGACAGGCCACTTCACCGAGGGAATCAATCACTCAAAATACTCTGATCTCCTTCTTCCCATGCAGCAAAAATGCTTTTGTGCATTCAGTTGTGCAAGCAGTCACAGGTTGGTTCTAGGAAACACTGAGCAACCCCAAATTCCCCCGCACCAGTGCAATTACTGCCTCAGAAGGCTTTGCACCAGCAGAAGCTGATGCAGAAACTTAGAAAATTTGCCCACATGAAATTCGTGTTCAAAAATGCAAACCAGCATATATTGGGCAAAAGCATCATGATAAAAAAGAAATATGAAGATGGATTAAATGTTATTTTTCAGCAGGTCTCCAAATAAAAAAGAAAAATGGGAACGTTTTGTGCACGTTACACAAATAACTGGTGTTTCAAACACACATTACCTCATATCATTTGTCAGAATGAGTCATTGTTGGGGCTGTTTTCCTTGGGTTTTTATTTTTAAAAAGGTGAAGGCATTAGCACGAACCGAATTACTAGCACACTTTTTTCCACACTGCAATATTATCACAAAACAAATTACCCAAAAGGAAATTAATTCTTTAAAAAGCCTAACATTGCCTAAGCAGACAAATAAAACTCCTCGCAGACAAATAAATTCCTCTCTTAAGCCTACAGTTTTGTGCATAGATTTAGTTTTCTTTTTTCGTAAGTATCACACAATGCCTCTTTCCTCTAGTGAAACAAAATCAAAGCCACAATAATAAGAAAGAAACAGATAACAGGGTCTCTTAGCCTAAATCTTTGGCAACTTATACTACACAAGTGTCTTAAAAACAAGAAAAGGAAAATGAAGAATCTACCCTGGATAGTACCCAAATGCCTAGCGGACGCTGTTTCACCTGATAAAAAATCAGCATCATTGTAGAAGAAATGTTTTACGCTGATGCAAAAAAGGTTATTCTTTTAAAAATGCCTCCTCATTAAAATAATGTTACTTGTAATATTAATAGCGTAATGGGGCTTTGCGTTAATGTGTATCTTTTTTCCACTTCAAAGATATGTAAGAACTAAACCATAAAACAAACCCTGAAGTGACTCCAGGTAAGGGAGTGTTACCGTGAGCAGAATCCTGTTGTGTGCAGCAGCTGCCCCCAACACCCCGTCCCTCTTTCAGGTGAATGGTGCTCCATACTAACATGCAGCCCAAGAAAACACCAAACCTGTCATTTGCTCTGATTTCTGTCCCATGCCTTTGATGGTCTTACACACAGACTCGTAGAAAACAGAGCTAAGAACTTCAGATGCCCTGCTCTGAGGCACCAACGCTGTTCTAATCCCTTTTGCCCTTATTCTTAGTAGTTGGTGCAGAACCAGCCAATAAAAATCAGTGCAAGATGCTGCGTTCAATTACATTTTGGGATGCCTGTTAATACCAGCCCTATCAAGTATTTTATATAAGTTGCATAGGACATGTGCAGAGTGGCTGCCAAGCAAAATCCTCCGAGGATTTTGAAACACTGAGGTGAAGAGTGGCACGCAGCCTGCACTTTACGGTACGCTCCACGGGGAGCGTAACCCTGGAGTCCTATACCTGAGCTCGTTCACAGCAGTGCAAGATCTGTATGCAGAACAACGCTACCACAGACCCCCTGCACCATGTGCGTTTGACCCAGCGCTGTGAAAGGAGAAGGGCAAACGCGGTTTCTGTACCTTCCTGCCTACCCTGATCCTGGCACGGACTCTCCCAGCTGTATACAGGATGCAGATTCCCCATTTCAACAGGAAAGCCTTCAAATACTCACTGCTGGTGAAATGGGAGCACCCTCCTTTTTTTCAGTTCCTTCGCTCCTGCAAGCACTGTGGGTGTGGGCTGTGCGCCATCCATAAAGAGTGCTCCCATTTTTCAGACTTTTCTCTTGTATTTAAGACCGGATCAGATGGGTAGTACAAATTGTCAGCCACAATAAAAAAAAATACGTGGTCATCCATGATCGAACTGGTAACAACAATTTCTGTGTTGGAAACTCAGTGAGGTTTGGGCTGTGGTTTATTCTGTTTTCCACATAGGTGAGGGTAGCACTTCTGAAAAGAGCTGTCTCTGCAAACAGCTTTCCCATACCACCTTGCCAGCGTGCTCCAGCTCCGACTTGGAGAGAGGACCGGGGACAATATGTTGTGTCAACTAGCCAATTCTGCCAACCTGCCAAGAGCAATGTGACCACAAAAAAAGCTGGTGCCAAAGCCCAGACGGAGCAAACATTTCAGGGACTTCACTTCTCTGTCGGACTCAGCTGCCTACTGAAAGCTTGCCCTTCTCTGCTTAAACTGTTTCGAAACGAGAGGTCTCTAGTGGTTCCACAAGCACGAATTACAAAAACCATGAGAAGTCTTGTAGCGAACGCAAGAAATAACAGGAGTCTGCACGACTGTAGATAAATGGCACATTGTCTGCTACAGGTGGTGGTTTAAGTTGGGGGCTGAAGTCAGAATTCCTGTGCAGCAATCAGACCCCGAAGGTCTGCCAGAGCCAGGTACGGGTCACTTCAGAAGAGCTACAGGACAGTCTGCTGGAGACGGTGGATTCCACCCAGCATAGCAATGGGCTTTGTACTGACAGCTGAAGGGCTGAGTGTTTTTATATTGCTCCCGATCTATATAATCCGCTAGAATCCAACTCTTCCCATCATTAACAGCTCGCTAGACCTTACAGACTATATCCCCTAAAACATACCTCCTTCAAAAAAAAAGGAAGGCAGAACCCCTTCAGTGTACCTGGACCCCATCAGATTACGAAACGGCTGGTGAAGTGATGACTTCATTCTTAGCGAAGGAAAAAATAACAAGACACTGTTGCATGCTCTCGATTCAGAGAATGCCTTTTTAAAGCGGCAAAGATATGCAAAATCCATTCAAGAATATCAGGAATGTGAGCAGGAACAAGTAACCCAAACAACATGTTACAGCTGCAATCAGTGGATTTCCTTTGATTTATTTCAGAGTCTGAACACCACTGGCATCTCTTTAACCAGACTTCAGCCTCGCATTTCATTAGTGCTTCGTGATGAGATAAGAATGAAACAGAACAATTCTCATAAATGCTCTCAACAATTGGAAATTGACGTATACACATTGTTTTAATGAGTTATAACAATTTTTTTTTCTTTTTTTTCTACTGTGGCAGCACAGCTGACAATAGCTTTTTTTCTTGGATCCTCTGAATTTTACACAGTCTGAATCAAAACATGTCCGTCTAATTCAGTGTTTCTTACATAGGACTTGATTGAATCAATACAGCATCAGAAAGCACACTGGTACTGTATTAAGTAATTAAGCGCCTGCTCCTTTCTTTCTTATTTGGATTTTTAAAATTATGTAAACCAAGCAAAGCTCTCTAGATCTTCTTTAACTCAGAAGCTGCACAAATAACCCTGTGAATGACAATCAGTGAATGAGGAAATAGTGACTGAAGAAAAACAGAATGTATTTCCTAAAAATACTTATTACCATACCATGTTTTTCTCTAAGACTAAACAACTTATCTCCTTTTCTTCAAAAAAAAAAAAAGTCTGCCTAAGTTAAATTTTCCAGATGTGGCAGACAATGGTATCAGTAGATTTACACCAGAGCTGGCAGCTGAAAAGCCAACTCATTGTTGCAGAGAAACCACACAGCCCTCCTCTATTTCAATAAAAAACTATTATTTTGTGATTTCTTATTACGACTGCTCATACAGGGACTTGCATGTATGGATCTTGCAGGTAACTGAGCATTACCTGCTTGAACAAGAACTCCATGAACTGCTGAGATACGTTTTACTTTAGCGGACTCATCGACAGGCTGGGAGCCAAGGACACATGAATTTTAGCTTTAGTTTTCCTTTTGAGTCACTGATTGCTGAGCCCTCAGCAATCCACTGTATCTTTAATTATTAATTATGAAAGACCTTTAAAATAAGCAGTTTATCTGCCTCTCCTTTCAAGACCTATTTTGAGAAGCTCGCCTTCCACTGGAACT